AAAGGTTTTCACAAATCTTAAAGAATTTTTCAAATTGAGTGATAAAGATTTTCACAAAAGGTTTTCTCTTTTTGGTGTAAGACTAAGTACTTGGAGGTCTAAGTATACAAGTTGCACTATCAAGGGAGGTGAGCTACAAGGAGCCACTTAATAACCAAGCCTTTTCAAGTGGAAATTACTAAACCCCCTTATACTTGTCTCACAAAACAAATTTTTCACACAAGCAAGTCAAGTAGTTGTGTGTGTGTGCACGCAACCCCTATTAGGCAAAGGAAGCCTTCTAAACGAGCTTAGAATTAAAACAAGTTAAAGGAAAGCAAGTAAAGCATACACTAGTCGTATGGTCCTAGGGTGGAATTCAAGTGATACTTAGAATCCCTTGGAACACTTCCACAAGTACTAAACGGTTTATGAAAGCAAGTAAACTAGGTGTCTCCTAGTGGAAGCCCAAATGACACTTGAAGCCTTTTGGGGACCCTTCCACAAGTACTAAATGTATCTAGGAATCTTTATTTAGAACTATTTAGGAAGTGGTGGGACTTAATCAAAGATTTTTCCTAAACAACCACTCCTAAATGTAAGTTTGACTTAACAAAAGGAAATTAAAAGTTAACCCAAGGTAGGGTTAAGGAGTTATAACAAGGAAGCAACACAATTCAAGAATACTTGAAGAACTTCCACCAAGGGAGGTTGGTAACGAGCTTGGAACAACTTTGGAGTCAAGTTGAATGACTAATTTGAAGGTGGAAAATTGGTCTCCACAAATCCGTCTCTAAGCTTCCAAATCCGTCACTAGTTCAATACAACAAAGATGAACTTACTCAAATAAAAACTTCACATAGTTAATCACATAGCTTGTCAAAGGATGGACAATTCCATCAGTTACTGCAGTCTTGGTAGCATCTTTCTCAACTGCTTCTTCAAAATCTCCAAAGGTCTCCTAGGCTATTTGTGCAAGCTGTTTTGTCAAACCCGTTACAGCTTCTCTTATTTTGGTGCAAGCTCTGCCTTTAAAGAGCATATCAATCTGCAAATTCTCCAAAGCAAAAGATGATAATAAGTTACAACCATCAAAATATGCCTCCTATTTCTTGTTAAACACGTGCAAAGCAGCCACAAAACCCTACGATGCATGACCATGAACACACAATATATCAGACATCTAGGCTAATGTGAAATTCTATAACAGGTCAAATGTAAAAATTGTTAGGAGTAAAAACTAGCAAGAACCCATACATGTCCAAAAGTACAAATAACTTTTCAGGTGACCTCTTGCTTTTGGCAATAGCTTCTCCAAAACTAAGCAGCATGGAAATGTTGTTTGTAGTTACTTCAACAAAACATTGATCACTAAGTGTGTCAAATGCTTCAAATATAAGTAGATGTTAATTATAAAAGTAAGTACATATAAATAAAGAATAATTGAATATATTATTATTATTATTATTATTATTATTATTATTATTATTATTCGTAATATAAAATTATTATATATAATTATTATAGTACAAGTATGAGATTGTATATTTGAGGATGACTTAAATGAATTAATTTGTATAAGTTATATTGACAACATACATATACATTTCGGTAGCTTACTCATCAAAACTTTACGGTTAAGCGTGCTTGACCTGGAGTAGTATAGGGATGGGTGTCCTTCTGGGAAGTTTTCCAGAAATTACGCAAGTAAGGATAAAACACGCTAAAAAGTGAAATGTCGTAAAGTAGAACCCTTGAGAGTCCAAATATGAGGACTGTTACATTAATAAATTTATTAAAATTAAAAAATATATATATATATTTCAACAGAATTTTTCGTCGAAAATTTTTGACGAATTTTTTTTTTCGACGCCACTTTTTCCGACAAATTTAAATCCGTCGAAAAAAAAATCCATCATAAATTTACCCTTTTTTGTCAAAAATTCCCGTCAAAAATTAGCATTTTTTTTTTGTAGTGTTTCATGCACCAATACCACACCTTTGAGATCCATGATCGGTGGTGAGTAGTTGGGAAGGAGAAAAAATAGTATTGATATTGTGCGAAAGGGTACACCATCAAAATTAGATTCATGTAAAGGCTATTATTTGTTGTGTATGGTAAACTAACTATAATGGTAGTTCATCCTATAGTTTGTGTGTGTATACACACACGCACGTATTTTAGTTTGTGTAATATACACGTTAAATGTTTATTATATATAACTAAAACTTAAAATAAATTATGCATATAAATAAATATTATATTTTAATATAAAAATTATATTTTAGATTTATGATAAATAATTTATATTATACCATAAAATTATTTCTATTTATTGATAATTTATTTTAAAATATTTAAATTTAATTCATAAATAATTATGATAAGTAAAAACTTAATTAGATATGAAATTAAATAAATACATAAAAACCTTTTCATTGAAGACAAACAACCTCACTTTCCACTCACTTTTCCTTCAAATTCCTCCTTTTCCACTCCCCCTTTTCTATCCTCAAATCCAAACAAAGCCTTAATGATTTTGCCACTGATGATTTGAGGAAGTTTTTTATGGATGAATATACACTTGGTCATTAGTATGGTGGTTCTACTACACACAAGGTGATTTGCATATGAAAAAGACGTGTTTACTATAATACAAAGCCTTAAACCTCTCCACTTAACCACTATTTACAACCATGTTAGATTTTAGGGGAAGAGACAACTGATGAAGGAAGGAAAAACAACTTTCGATGATTGCCTCCACTAGGAAACCATTGGAGCGGAGGCATAAAAACACCCAAGAGATGGAGGAAGAGATAACAAACAAAGATATGTTGAAGCTACTTTAGACTCTAGTGAAGGAAAAAAAAAAAAAAAAAAAAAAAAAAAAAAAAAAAAAAAAAAAAAAACATGCTGCACAAAAGATCCACTATAATATTTTAAGAACAAGATTAATCTAATGGAGTATAACAATGGTCTCCTATACCACTCAAACCATAACCTTTGTCATTTTAACTAAAAAGACCCATTTAGAGAAAAAAAACAATAACAATAACAGTAATATATGCTTATAATAATTTAATTACTATTATATTAGACTAAAATATTATGTTAATTTCTATAATTTCATTTATTTTATATTTTAGACTATATAATTACATAGATCAAATTTATAAATTTTAAAAAAAATCATTTAATACTTTATTTTATTAATTTAAATTAATAAATAATCATAAAATTATTTTACACGTTAATTTTTAATTAATGAAATAAAATACCAGATAATTTTTAAATATTTTAAAAATTTACAAATTATAAATTCAACAATTAGATTGTTAAAACTTGATATAAAATATGAGATATTTAATCGTGTATAAGTTTAGATAAATTTGTTCCTAAAGTAAATGAATTCATCCTCGTGTGTATATATATATATATTAATATATTAATGGTCATAACAAATATTGGAACCTGAAGAAGAAAAAAAAATGAAGATGTTACAGTTTGTGATTTGAACTGATGCATATGCATAAGGGAACTGTTTTCTAAATACTATCCTTTAAAATTGAATTTTGAACATCACTTATGACTAAATAAAGGGGGGGAAAAAGATGAACTTTTAATGCTACTACAAAACTTCTAATCGCAAGTGGGTGGACTTGGCAATAAACAAATAGTGGAGATTCTGCAAATGTTTTCAACCAGAAGCTGAAGCAGCTCTCCGTTTATCAAATTCTTCTTGTTCTTCCTTGGCAAACTCTTCAATTAATTCACGTTGTCTCTGTGTCAGGTTTCTGCAATAACATTCAAATACAGGCATTTTATATTCTAAGCATCATTCATAAAACACAAGCACGGTGTAGACGGGCGAAGGGCGAAACAGTGCATAAATTAAACTAAAATATCTAATGAGACACTCACGTTGGGATGTTGACATTAAAATGAACATATTGATCCCCAAATGTGTAAGAATTTTTTGTCTTGATCCCTGTTAAAAGAATAAACAAATATGAATGGTGAAAGAAATGGGCTTAACTGTTTACACTTGCAGCCTATAAAAATCCATGCAGCAACATGTCCCTAAATTCGAAATATATTATTTTCCTCTCAACGGTCTCAGAAAAGTAACAAGGTATCAAATTGCTTACCTTTCTTTTTCAAAACCACTTTCTGACCAGGTTGGGTGCCTGGGCGGACCTGCCAAACAAGACTCATCACTCAAACTTCCCCAGTTACTAAAAGTGCCATTAAGAAATATTATGTATTGCAATCGCAATACTAACCTTGAGAACAACATCTCCTGAAAGAGTAGGGACTTGAATAGTTCCACCCAAAATCGCCTGAAACACGCATACAAATTTCCAGTATATATAGGTTAATTACAATTATATCACTAAATGCAACATAAACAACTAAGATGTTTGGGATCCAAAATATTATGACAATATACTTCCAGCACCAACCACAGTCACCACCATCACTACTACTGCTAAATCAAAAATCAAAATACATATTTACATACTACCACCATTCTCCCTAACGGTGGTAGACAATTCATGCCATCAAAACTTGAAGAGAGCAGCAATTCCTAACAGACGGCTGCTACCAAAATATTATACCACAGTAATATCACCTATTTTTCTTAAACCAAATAGATGTCAACCAACATCTCTTAGGGACCATAATGGACGTAAAGTTTTTTTAGTCTAAACTAACGACTAAGTTGCTCCCAAAGAATTATAAATTAATGCATCAAATTAAACAGACACAAGTAGATCACAAGAAAACTCAACCAGGTAACCGCATAAAATATTGCTCAAGATTTCATTTTCTATATCAAAGATCATACCTGAGTGATACTTAAAACAGCATCTACATGAATATCGGATCCTTCTCTGCGAAAAACAGGGTCTTCTCTAACCTGTACAAAAGAAGAAAGAAAAAATGTTGCGTTTAAAAGTGTTAATTAACAAAAAAAAAAAAAAAAAAAAGTAATTTCCAATTCCCAAGCATTTGAAGTACCT